GTCCATCCCCACTCCGAGGGCCGACGGAAGCAAAGACTCCCGACTGTCACGGCGATTGGATAGTCGAATTCTTGAATTACATCGTAACATATATAGTAGCGTCTTGCTAGCGCAGTATGCGTCGCCGCCTCTCCCGCCGTTATTAGCGTGTGTATCGCTTATAGTCCCTAGGAAATTCCCTAGGCGCGCTCCTCCCGCCCCCTCGACCCACCGCCGCGCAACGAGCCCACATATACATACCGGCACGCATAATGCGTATAGAGCTAGAGCCAGACAAGGAAGACAGAGCACGGAGCCAGCAGGGATAGAGAAAGAGAAAAGCGACGTAGAATTTATTATATTACTAGAACCCAGGATAGACGTCGCCGCTGCCGCACGATCTAACGGAGGACTGTTGCCCGCCATTCCTTAGCCACGCCGGCCGATCCTATTTTGAACTGGAGTACGTATGTAAGTGTCGGCACGTGTACGCATTCACGCAAGTGCGCCAGCCAGCGTATATGAACGTATAGAGAGACGACACGGAGAGCCCATACGAGTAGAGGACGTAGGCGTCGGACGTCTTGGCTTCTGGTTTGGTTGGTGCGTCGAAGGGAAAAAAGAAAAAGATTTTCCCGTTAACGTTACGCAGCCATGCTGTACCCCAGGGTAAAGGTACGAATGTGAAACAGCGTCGGGCCCGCCGGCGCTGCGCGTGCGAGCCGAAGACGAGCGACAGATAAAGATGCCGAGTAACAATAAAACTTGGACTTACGATAATAACAGATGACAGAAAGTCCCGCGCAGAAAGCCAGGGGGAATCACGTTATAAAATACACAATGGACATTTTGTGCGTGGTCGCGCGTTCGCCCGGCGTATTTACACACGAGGCCGGGTTTAAACGATTACGTCACGCCTCGTTACTCATCCCATCGAATGTAGAAACGATCTTGTTATTCGCTCGGCCGAGGACCTGGGGTCTCTTGCGTTCGTTTAGACATCCAGTAAGGTGATCGATACAGTCCGTTTGTATCATTTTACGGATAACCAAAAGGTATTGGATGAATGGACCATTACACCTATGGATATATCGGTACGTGCCATAGGGATGCGCACTTACCCATATGGCAGATACAAGATATGAGGTGCGAGTATGATGTATGATATATATAAACAAAAAATGTTTCCTGTAATCATTTCGAAAAGGCATAACCTGCATATCTCGAGCAACATACTCGAACGCACTGACGTGCGTGCGTACGCATTTCTTGTGTAAACGCATTAGGATAAATTTAAAAACAGCCAGTCAGCCGCACGTACGGTGCGTGAGGGGGGGGGCGGCATCTCCTTGGCGTATGTGCGCCCGGCACGTATGTAGAGACGAGAGAGAGAGAGAGACCCATTCGTTCACGCACGCAACATACGCATACCAATCTAGGCACCCCGTACGCACTATTTTAAATATAGAATATGGAGCAGTGGTGCGTTACCCGGCAGGGATTGCGCAAGAGGGCCCCGAAGGCTGGGACGAGAGGGCTCGCAAAGTGTAGAGCCTGTATTTAGGATTTTCTTTTTTCTTCTTTTCCACGATCGATCTCTTCTGCCTGTTATTGTTATTGTTATCGGGCTTGTTATTCATTATTTATCGATTGCGCAATCCCGAAGCGCATTTACGCTACAGTACGGTACGGCCGCATGTGCGCGATACTCTCGTACCACTGGTGTCTTGTTTGCTGGTTAAAGGAGAGATGCCCCGTGTGCGATAACGATACACGGCCAGTGATCTATATCCGATGTTTGAAACGAGAGGCGGGAGATTTAAATATTTATTGTTTCGTGAAAAATTGCGACGGGCACGCACGATCCCGGAACGCTCCATTATACATGCATCCGCTACGGATTTCTCTTTCTCTCTCTCTCTCTCTCTGGCGGCTGCTAGCGCGATTCTCGAAAGGTTAAAAACAATTCCAGGTAACGTATACCTGCAGTTTCCTTTAAATACTCGGCTGAATCCTTGATGATGCATTGTCGTTCTAGTTATCTCGTTTCGTTCGATGGTTCCGATAAGACGCAATTTCGCGAATATAATTAAATTTTTATGAGGGTTCAATTTTTTTTTTTTTTTTTTCCTGAACTTTACAGTTTTCAGGTATTTCTGTTCTTTTTAATGACGGCCGCGGGAACCTTTTATCTGTACTACTTTATTTTGCCCCGGTGGCTCACGGGGAAGGACGATTAGCATTTACGAGACGAAATTCTTCGTAAATCATCACATACGCGATGTCCCGCCTTCTTAGAAACGACCGTTCACCCAAATCTCGGCCATCTTTTCAGGCGATATAGTAAAATTACCATTGTACGATAACGAAGCGAGATTGCCCTCCGTTTACGCGTCTTTCTACATATTTTTTTACCGAGCACTGGGTATATCTGGTATATTTCTCTAATACTTGTTAAACACGAATCAGTGAATATTTACTGATTATCAGTTAAATGTCACTGAAAGTCACAGTTATAAGTATACGACTGAGAATCAGGATAATTATACTAATTGAATTAGTAGAAATTACTATCGACTGAATCGGTGCACAGAGAATAATGTTTTGAAAATTTTGAAAATGTGATTTCTACTGGTAAGGATAAGACTCGGAATAAAAATTTAAAAAATAAAAAAAAATAAAAAAATAAAAATGTCCACGTAACTCATAGTCAATACATGCATTTATTTGCACTACACTCCGAGAAATTTCTATAGTCGTTACTACTATACTACTGTACTACTATAGACATCTCTCTGAGTGTATCCTGAACGGGGTCCCAAACCGAGCAGTCTGAGACTCGCCGAATCGCCGGCCTAATTTGTAAATACTGCTTTGATTAAGAATTAGAATCGTCAATATCGATATACGGTATAGGAACGTAGGTAAGTTTTAAATTAACGCCGCCACAAGTAATCGTACGAATACATATGAGCCTGCCTTACATAAATCGCGAAGCGGAGTAACATTATCGTAATGTTACTGAAATTTTTTCTATTCAAAAATTAGTTATGGAAGCAGCATCGATTCACCGTCCGTTGGCATGACCAGTTATCATTAGCAGCAGCAACTCGCGCCCAACGTGACAATAGGTCAAACAGTATGGCGAGAACCACAATGAAGCAGACAGGGAGCTCCTACAACACGAAAGCACTGATTCACCAGGGGATAAGACCTAAAATCGCGATTTCCCTAGTAAACTTTCCAAAAACCGAAGCAATAAGCGAAAACTTTGCCGCTTCATTTCCGAGGAGTAAATTTTTAAGTGCGTCGCACGTTATGACAATTCGAAAAACGCTCGTAGGTGATTACAAAGAAATTAGTGAGGACCGATCGAGAAGCCTCGAATTACGGAACCGCGGGACGTTTACATTGACGAAAACATCATTACCAATCGTGATAATTGACAATCCGCCCCCGGAATTCTCGTGATTCATACGAGAAAGCGATTTTAAAAAAACGAAGATATGGGAAAATCCGTAAACCGAATAATTTGAACGCACGAGCGAAGAAGTCTCGAGGCGGTAAAAACGAAATGAGTCAATATAAATTCAAAATTAACGTGACGAAATATCGTAAGAGCGCAATACTTATCCGGGTTAAATAGCGAGGTGCTTAATCAATTAGTTTATTTACGATAATTAGAAAGTCGCGGCAAGAATCAGGGGAGAGGAGGATTTACGTGCTTGAATGCCCGAATATTTCGACGCACGACATTGAAGCCGAACTCGGAGGCGAACCAAGAGACACGATCCCTAAATCAATTTTATTGCCTTGCGACACACGTAATGCCGCCTGAAAACTTAGGTTCATATACTTCGCGTACTACGTCACTTGCGCGTTTAACGAATGGACGGTGAAATAAGAACATGACAAAAAATTTTTTATATAATGCATAAATTTGAAAAAATCGACTGAAGCCACTTGCGCTGAATAATGAGAGGGAGAAAAAATATAGAAATTGATGACGTCATCCGTATGGACTCACCACGTGAGGATTCTTACAGGACTCCAAGAAGCAGGGACAGGTAGGTGAGGAGCGTTGACAGGAACGGGAGAGAACAGGTTCGAAGGGCGTGCATAGAGGCATGACGAGGACTATGAGGGGCCGTGAGAGGGAGAGAGAGAGAGGGAGAGAGAGAGAGGGAGAGAGGGGGAGAGAGAGAGAGAGATAGTGGGGAGAAGAGGAACGTGGAAGAGAGATGAGAATAGGCTCTGGTGACATAGTGACATGACCGAGTGATCGATGGTTCACCTCTGGTTGGTCGGCCCGAAAACCCCATAGGCTGTGGTGCTAACGGCGCATTATTATGTAAATCAAGGCCGGAAGTCCTTGGCAGACGTCTAGGTGACTGCACCCCCCGTGCGTCCAATTAGCAGCTTCCGTCAGGATGGATCCTCCGAAAGAATTTGACATTCGCAAGAGAGAGAGAATTTCGCGGAGGTCCGAACGGAAGCAAGCAAGGAGAAGGCTACTGAAGCGTCCGTGTAAAGGTTTCGCACGGTATATCGAAAAAGGAGTGAAAAATAAAAGGATATTGGCATAGTAGCCGATAAAAAAAGAAGAAATAAGGTAGGGGGGAAAAAAGGAGGAAATATCGCGCGTGTAACGTCGAAATCGCCGATCGAAACCGGTTGCCGTGGTTTTTGCTGTCGTTACTTTAGCATGTAAATGTATTCGACCGAAATTACCGAAAATTGTCGCAGGCAACGCAATGGCGTGTGGTCTATCAGGATCTATCTACCCTCACGGCGCAACTAGGTTCACGAAATCCTTTCGTTGCTATCCGCCCTTTCTCGGAGTGATTTGCATCCGGCCGTAAGAGCACCTAGCCCAATTGACGGTCTTGAACGTCGACGGAAGCGACCAGGCGGCACGGGCTCAATCGGCTGTTCTTGACGAAACGTCATTATTTTAAATGAAAAAAAAAGAAGCTGTTTAAAGAAATATCGAGCAGAAGGATCAAAAAGTGGAGACTCACCTTGAGTAATCTTCGGAAGTAGGGACTGCACGCGGAGAGGACGACCTTGTGCGCGGTGAAGCTGCTACTGTCGCAGGCCAGGGTGACGTCGACGAAGTCTTCCTCGTCCCGCAGATGCCGGAAGGAGCTAAGGATGCTCGAGTGGAAGTCGTTCCATCGCAGGGAGTACTGCTGCTCGCCACTCGACGAGGATGAGGAGGCCGCCATGGCGCCCGTCCCCCCGGGACCCCAGGCCGCCGGCACCAGAGGTGCTATCGTGCTCACTCGGGCACACCCTGGCGCACTCTCACTTGACCTCCCAGGTCGAGCAGAGCGCGACCAGCCTCCAGGATAACCGGAAAAGGAGCGAGGCGACTGATCAGGCTCAACAAGTCCTAGAGGTTCCGAAGGTAGAGTCTTTTAACCGGGGCGGTCAGGTTCTCCGGTCCAGGTCCAGGCTGCAGGAGGATGCTGATGCGTCCGTGATGTCCAGGAGCACGAAGGCGCGCAGGGGGTTGTCGATGGTTTAGGATCGACCAGGTGAAGTAAGGTGAAAGGTCGTGTCAGGCCTAAGAAGCAGGAGATCGCGGACCCGAGTCATTATCAGAGGGTGTCGGGGAGCCGCTCGGTCGGCGCTTTGAGCGACAACAAGATGGCGCCCGGTAGACAATGGGACCTCAATTGTGCCTGGAACAATGCAGCATCGGGGTGAGTCGGGATGGGGTTTTCATTGGTAGAAGTAAAGAGAGAAAGAGAGAGAGGGGGGAGGTATGCAGCAGTAAGGGATAGAGGTGCTCCGATGTCGGTGGTAGTTGGGAGTGGGCATGAAAAGAGAATGAGAGAATAAGAGAGAAATAGAGAGAGAGAGAGAGAGAGAGAGGGCGTGTGCACGCAACCACCAAGGGCCGCTCAATAAAAGATTCTTTCGCGTCTTATTTTATCGATTTCGGAGCGGTTTACGACACCCGTCGTGGCTAGAGCTTTCTGGTACCCTTCCCTTTACCCTCTTTCTTAACTTTTCTCTCTCTCTCTCTCTCTCTCTCTCTCTCTCACACACACACACACACACACACGCACGCACTCTCACTCTCCTAAACACTCCCTCTCCCAACCTCCACACCGTATACCGGCCCCTCTATTCCTCACTACATGAAACGGGGGTTCCCCGTTTATGGCGGTCTTCGCCGTAGTTCGTCCTCCCATTAAAAACCCGACTGTAGGATTACCGGATTATTGGATTAATGCCGGCAGAGCATAGTATTCCACCCTGGGTTGTCCCTCTTCGCTCTTCTATTTTCCTTTTCCGTATTTCCGTCCTCCTCGCTCTTCCCGTGCACCCCGTCCACAGTTCCCACTCGCGTCCCACCTTCACCGTCTACTCAGCGAGTCTCAATAGCCGACTTGCTATCTCCACTCTCACAAGTGCACCAGCAGTCCAGTTCCTTCGTTCCTTTTCCAGCCAGCAGGAACCGGTCATACCGTGATCCTCGGATAGTTCATGGAACCACTTCGACTTCGCCAGCACCAGGTTATTCTTGATCCACTTCTACCTCCGCGCCGGGTATCCCATGCCCACTGCTCTTGATCATCCGCACCAGTTTGTCCCTCATCAACCTGTCCGCCGTTCCCTTTTCACTCCGCCCGCCTGGTTCCTTCCGTTTCTGCAATTCAAGGACATCGGCTGGTCACCACTGTTTCTCTTATTACCTTCGCCCTGTCTTGGGCTCTGCCTACCTCCCACCCACCCTCTAACCCCTTTTCCCGCAACCCCTACTGACTCCTACGGAATTCGTGCCTCGGCCTCGTTTCCGTTTCGACTACCTAATCTGATCTCCAGGGAACGACCGCGTCCACGAAGACTCCCGATGGGACCTAACGATCTGCTTCTCCCCTACGGTAACGATTCAGCCAAATCATCGACCTTGAAACGATACTATACATACGGCAGATCGAACAATATCTATCGTCCTGGTATCACTGACCCCCCTCCCAAAATGCATAAATCCTGGATCTTCATCATCTATCACACCGTCATCCCCAAGGACTGAATTATAGAGGAGGAAAAAAAAAGTACTTCACCCGAAACCATTCGTGATATAAATAAATGCTCGTTGAAAATCCACCCTTGTAAGGCAACGCCGAAGATCACCAAATAAACATCCCCGTGTCTACTGTGACCTATGAGAATCCAGTCTCGTCCGATTGAACAAACGAGACGTCCTTATCGGTATCAAATAATAATAACATCCCAACCAAGAAATGGCATAGCGCACTGCACAATGATACAGAATTTCACGTTATCAACTATTACCAGTGCCATTTTATTTCCTCTAGCCCACCCACCACCCTCTCCCCGGGAACTGGGCTATCTTAAAATTATTCATGAAACAATGGGATTTCCTTTACGATCTTGCGGCCATGGATTGCTCCCGTTTTACGAGCATCCTTCCAGCAATTCTTTTGTGGGAGCAAAAGAAACCTACCCTAGGACCATCCTAAACCAACCCGTCGACCACTGCGCTTAAAAACCACCCGAAGCACGAACGTCGATACAGTAGGGAACCTACGATTACAAAATTACCCAGAAGTGCGCGTGTACGAAAAAAAAGTCACGTGACAAGGACAAACCTCCCAGCCCCGCTGGTAAATTTGTTTCTCGCTTAAGCAGCACGAGCGACGATAAGATAGGAATCCGCCGTCTATAAATAAGCCTTAAGGTCCGGACCCTGCGAAATGACAAACAAAATTTTTTTTTTACAAAACAACCCCCCCGCCCTCGCGTACATACGTTCCTGAGCACTATACCCAATACTCAGCCAATATTAAATATATCTGCATCGACCTACGTAATTTCGAATCACGAGCGCGATTTTCGTCGCCGATTCAAAATAGAGCGTTAGAGAATCCGCGAAAAAACAACGTAACCGGATAATCCTCGCGAAAGCGTACGTGTTATTTTGTTCAGGGCTGCCCACGAACATACAGTGGCACTTCCGCGTAAACGCGCACACCGAGCACTATTTATAAATGTTTAATCCGAGCCAACGTACGCGCTTCGAGCCGAGTTACGCGTGCGCGCACGTCCCACCTCCCCTACCCCGTCACACATGCGTGTCTTCCCTTAGTCCACACGTGCTCCGTTAATGCGTGTACAGTATACGCTCATAGGTATGGAAACTTCGGACTATCGGTATGCAACATATATATATATATACATATGTCTACGTACGTTAAACACACAGAAAAAAAACCGTACGGCCATACCTATATGTATACATGTGTGCTTATATATTTTTTTTTCAAAATTCCACATATGAGCATCCATCCTATTCCAAACAGTCATATCGTTCCCATATTACGCACGAGTGTCGTGTGCCATAAAATCACTCTCGAATGTCTACATATGTGGATCCGTGAGGCGTGCCTGCCGTGTCGCGCGCGAATCATGTCATGTGTGGAAAGAGATTCCATTGTGTCAGTATGAATGAACGAGCTGTCCCTGAATATTTGACTGATCGATCGCTCCTCGTCATGAGACATAAAGTCAGTCATATATATATATATATATATATATATATATATATATTTCCATTGAAAGTAAAATTACATTATAAATTTTTGGCGGTAATTTTGAATTTCAAAACTTTTCACCTCGATCGAAAATTACTTGAACAAATTTTAGTGTCTTTAGCGTCATACACCTAATTCCATGGTATGACTGTACTTGCTTATTAGTAAAGTCAATGAATGACGCGATATATATATATATACATATATATAAGTGTAATCGTAATAACAACATTCGAATTCACGGAAATCCATTACACACATATATTTAAGGAACCAGCCATTATTATAAAATGCCTCGAGGCAGAGTATCACTAAGTGACTACCTACGAAACATCCCGCGTAAAAACCCTGTGAAAAATCAAAATAACGCGCAAGGCACGTACACCACGTGAATCACAGTACAAGAGTAGGAGCTACGCGTTATAAGTATCAGACTATAGGATATTCGTCCGTTCGTCCTATTAACGGGACCAGACCCCAAGTACGATTACGAGCAATACGAATAAACGAGTTCGGGGAAATTCATCGTTGAAAAAAATAAAAAAAATAAAAAAAATTTGTTCGCTACCATGCATCGTCGCCATTATTATACATTAGCTCTAGCCAAAGATAGAATCGTAATGCCAACATAGCAGAAGCAATACGTTTTAGTTTCTTAACCTCGTCTCCGCTAGTTTTATTTTTTTTTCCCCGTTTTTCCCTCCCTCTGGCAACAGTGGAAACAAAGCCTGGCAATGTGACGGAGAATAAAGACGCACCGTCGAGAAACTCACGAGCCGCAAATAGTTTACGCATGCGCGTACGCGGCTTTTTACTTCTTGCCGCTATATATATATATATACATATACATATATATATATATATATATATATATATATGTATTCGATTCTTACATGGATATTTATTCGTGCGTGTTTCTTTGACTCTGCTTACGCATTCTCGCTCGTATTCATTCGTTCGCTCCCTCTCTCCACACGTGTTAAATCGCATACGTCTCTCTCGCTCTGTCCCACCTATAACACGTGTGACCAATGTTTGGTATACCTATATATACGTAGCCCGCGTTGCACTGTTGCCACTGGCTACTTGCTGCCACCTATAGCCATTATATCGGAAAGCAATGACGACGTAGGACCCATCGAACGTCTATCTATCATTATAATAAGGAAACATACGAATCCACTCGGTGGGTAATTAAATGACGATCATTCGGATAGTTATAATGGTCGGTGGCACCTTTGTGCCTTTCACCTTTGTGTCGCTCGCGCGGGTAAAAACTTTATGGATGCAGAAGGTGAAAGGGGAGGGTGGGGTGGGGTTGATATCACTTAATTATCGCAGATACAAATAAATCCGTGTCAACGATCTCACCCGTTATAATCGGGGACTAGTTCCATCTTCACCCTGAATCATCCCCTTCCTCACTTCCGTTTCGACACTTTTAACCCCCCCCCCCCCC